ACAAAATCCAAATTTTTTGATTGATTTCTAGCAAAACGTTATTTTTTTTCATTTTCTTCAGATATAAAAATGATGTTTGCCAGATTCCTGGCACAGTGTTTCGGTAGTTTTCCCTTGGCATTGACATCAGCGTGTCCATCCTGTCACAGTAGAAAACGAAAACTTTACTAATTATAAATGTAACGCTACCCCTTTAATACGCATATCTTAATAGGCGTTCGGACGTAAAGGTAGCATTGTATTCGGCTCTTCTCCAGGTGTACAGCGCAGCAATTTTACTTGTGCGTAAAACTTCGTTTGTAAACTTATTTTTATTTATTGTTAAGATTACCTCGTTTGCATAGAAGATTGCGCATATTCCAGTAGGCCAGAAACAGCAGAAGCAAGCTAAAATAGATCCAATCATATAATCTGGAGGTCTCTTGTGGTAAAAGGCGATACCAGGTTCTGGCTGAGTAACAACCTAGAAACAATAACATGGCCAATTTAGAGCAGACATATCTTTATTCATTTTTGAATAATTATTTGACAATATCTTTTTAGATTTTTTGAACCATGAAGTAACATACTGTTCCCCAAGTTATGATATAAATGCCTTAACAAAAACATGCTTTTATAATGAAATGTAAAACATCGGCTAAGATCATGAAAAGACTTTTTAATAAACTAACCTGCTATATGACTGGCTTGAGAAAAGACAAAGATTCATGGAATCAATTGAAAAAAGTCAAGTATATCATGAACATTTACTGGTGTTGCAAAAACTCAATAATTCAAGTCAAATTCCGAAAAATTTGGATTTATCATATTTCACAGCTGGTATAATATATATTTTAATAGCACATTCTTCTACTTTAGGCAATATTTATTAAAAATGTATGATACGCCAATATTTACCACTTTTGTATTTGTGTCGTGTCGGTATGATTGTTGAAATGGATATGGCTGCTGGCCGTTACCTTGCTGCGATGTAAGAATATCTGGTTGGTAAGGGTGTAGAACATCCACCTTGATTTTCGCATACTTATATGTGTATCCGTCGTCGGGTTGGTCGTAACCTACAAAAGAAATACAACCCAATAATTGCACTGCACAATAAAATATTATGTATCTAAATAATGTATGACCTTATTATATTCATTCGCAACTTTGTATAACAGGTTCCGTCCAGATGTTAATAGCACATTCAACTTTAACATTACTGCACGTTTGTAAATGGAGTCCATGTACATAAACTGTTGTTAGATATGCATATGTCCGTATTCAATGGGGACAATTTTAGACTTGATTTTGTGCATTCTTGTTTTTAACAAAATATCATTGTTTTCAAATTTTCTGATACAAATAGCTTTTCTGATGTACAACATGTCATGGAGCTTTAAGGGATTAAAATAACCCTTTAACTGAAGTGATGGTGTCATGTTTAAATATCATATTCTTTTTATAATTATCTAATTTCATATACCTAATAAATAACGTGCCAATGAGTTCAGTTCTAAAACTGAACTGTTGAGAGAGGTAACAACTGGAGCAGTGCCACTCATTTCATTTGCTCCGCCTCTGGTGAAGTTCGTGTCCGCCTTAAATTGTTGCCAAATTGTTTTTTATAAGAAAATTTGAAAACCATTTGATTTTGTTAAAACAAAAACAAATGCACAAAATCAAGTCTAAAATGTTCCCCATTGCTATACGGACAAATGCATATCATGCACGCGCCATATAATAAAATAACATTTATAAATTATGTCTTAAACGTTTACCTTTAATATCTGTTAAAGATTGATTGCATGCCTCGACAAAGCGCCAGGAATGCTATTATAAAATCCATGAATTGAAATCGTAAATTCGTGAAGTTAAAATCGTGAATTCATGAAGTTAAATCGTGAATTTCGTCAATTTTCTTTGTTGAAATGGGAATTCACAAAGTTAAAAATGTGAATTCATATCTATTAGATGAAATCAAGAATTCAAGTTGAAATGGTGCTACCGGTATTTCGTATAATAATCAGATTTGTATATGCATGTTATAATCCATGAAATCGTTTTTGAATATTTAAATATTTTGAATTGACTTGCCAACCTTTTCATCTTGATAAAAAAAAAAAAAAAAAAAAAAAAAAAAAAAAAAAACAAAAAAAAAAAACAACAAAAAAACAAACATTATTTATGCGAAGATAAAAAGTAAAAAATAGATACTTCATGAATAGCGAACAGTGTAGACCGTGATTAGAAAACGTGTATGTGTCGGTGTGTCTTTGTCTGCACTGACTTCAGTGACCGTCTGAAGGTATATTGTTAAAAAACCTTAAAAGGGTTTAAGTAATAAAAGACCGCAGCTTTTGTAAACGTTTAAATGATATGAAACTTCTAACAATTTATTTATTTTAACATGTCATTGTTGACAAGAAATTCCATACGTGAATCTTTTCGTATTTTGCTATAGTATATATTTTATTGTAGTGTTTAAATGTAAAGTATAATACTGTGTTACGTCACGTCCTGTCAATATATGTGTGTAATTATTTACCATCAAATATCCCAAAATAAACTTTAAAACATGATATATTCATTGTTGACCGCAGTAAATGTTTTAAAACCACCTGTGTACAACATGTATCTAGTTACATAACTAGATGTTTATTATAGAAAAGGGCATTTATGTATAACAAAATCAAGGCAGCCGTTATAAATATTAACCGAAGCATAACAAAAATATGTGAAAATAACTATCCAACAATTGCAACACATGAATGTATTTTTTAACGTTTTACAAACGTGTATCGAATTGAAACTGTTTGAAGATGATAATCAAATGATGAAAACATGTTCATTGGTATGAGTTTAATTTGCACTCGAACAATCATTTTAAGGGGGAATGTATAATACTGTCAAATATCACTACAAACAATGATGGAATTGTACATTTCTACTCGTTGTTTGTAAATGTGAGATACATAATTCGATATTACAAGTATGTTAATTTCAAATAATAAAATGTTATAAAACAAAATATTATCATAAAGCCATTTTTTAATCTAAATATAGTATCTCATATTACAACATAATAATTATGTCAAGCAATTATAGATCTTTAATGAGATTTTATCAAGCTAAACCGGAAAAGACTACATCCAAAACTATCAGAAAATCAGTTATGATGTGCATAGGAGATGGACGTTAACTTTATACAAACCATTAAATATACATGCATTTTCATTACAAAATCTTGACAGCTTAAAAAAGAACTTAAAAAATCTCTTAAGAATATTAAAGAAATGGAAAAAAATCACAGTACCTGCCCTTTCCGCCATTTTGTGGTGTAACGGTGTTTTTTTAATGTAGATCGTTAAAATAAGTTAAGAACACGGAAGAAAAAAGTGTGATTCACTACATCACTGTGTTGTAGCGGTGTCGAATGAGGTAAAACACTAAACTAGTAAGTTTTTAAGCTAAAAACGAAGAACCATCATTTTAAACGTCATCATGTATATCGTACTTTCGTTTAATTTACTGAAAATATAATTACATCTATGATCATCAAAATGTTCAACCACTTCCAGCGACATCATAATAAAATATATATCCATAAATATCATTACACCATCATCATCTTCACCATTATCATCAAAATCATTATTATCACCAACCCCACACGTATCATATTCAAATTTATCTTCGTGTCAATTAAAGTCAATCTTCTCTAATTCAACATCAGAAATCATCATCGTCTGCATCATCACTAATTTTTCAAAATTATAAAATATCATCACCTGCATAATAACCTGCGGAAGAATCAACATTACAACCATCATCATCATCATCATCATCATCATCACCATTATAATTATTAAATTGTTCTTACTTTCATCATTATCAATATCATTACAATCACCTTTTCGATTATCGGTGTTTTCATCATTAAAATATGAGGCCCTTTTATCATTTATAACTCTTTTTTTATTTAAATTTCGAAGTGATCATGAGGATCCTCGTGATGATGATGATGATGATGATGATGAACTGAAAATTATCAGGATGAACTTATGATGATTCTGATGGTAGCAATAATGGTGACGATGATGATAACAGCAATGACGAATTAATGTCGATGATGTTGTTCTGTTGATGATATGACAATGATGTACTGGTTCTAAAGATAAATGTACTGGCGATCGTAATAATGATGCGTGGTGCTGATGAGGATGTCGATGATGATTTGAAGTGCAACAGTACTGATCAGGTTCTTCTGAAAGTAACCTGCCAAAGCTTGATAATCCAGCTGCCACAACGGACAACCAACTTAGCAGAATGATTTTGAACCAAATCTTTGACCCTTTGGGATTGAAAATGTACCCTCAGTTGTTATTTATCAAGGTGTTGTAAGAATGAACACTGAGCTAATATAATGTATATATATATATAATATAATATAATGTAATGTAGAGCCAAAACAATTTTTTCTTAAAATTTAAAAACACGTCAAACGTGGTAATGGTATTGTAATGATGATTCTTGTTAATTTATGATGATGATTATTATGATCATGATCGTGTTATGATGTACTCATAATGATGCTTATGATGTTGATGATGAAGATTTTTATAAACTTATGATAATTAGTATGATTATCATGACCATGCTATGATGTGCTGATAATGATGGTTATGATGTTGATCATATCGATTTTGCGAACTTGTGAATATGGTGATAATGATAATTTTGATAATTTTGATAATGATGCTGAACTTTTAATCTTTAATTTTTATGAAAGTACTATCCAGACGTTGTTTTGACATCAAATATTTTAATAGCCGCTTTTTACAATTCGTTGATGACGTACATTACCTCGCCCAACAAAAAATAAAAAGCACGTTCCTTTACTTCACTAATAAATAGGTCGTACGTATAACATGGGTCAAGAAAAAGTCTTAAAATTACTTAATGATAAAGCAAACTTCATTGTCTATCAACTATTCGCAATACTGCATTAAATCAATAAAGCAGACAAAAAACCAACCTGAAGTTTAAAGTTTAACTTTCTTGTTTTAAAAATAGACATTTCGTAGTTTTGCAAACAAATGCGCAGCGATTGAAATTTCATCTGATCTACATGAACATAAATAACAAATCGTGACACAAAAATGGCGGAGAGAGCAGGTACTGTGAATTATAACAATTTCTTTTATTTCTTAAATAAGATTTAAGTAGTTTTTCGAATTTGTCATCAATTTGTTAGGAAATTTATATACATGTGCATTAAAAAAACGATGTTAACTGTTACAAATCAGTTTATAAAGACGGAAGTTTTGCTTTACAATAAGGAACAATACAATATACACAAAACTCGTCGATGTATACAATAAATGAATTGGCAGGCGAATATTGTGCTTTACAATTGTTACTATTATATTATGTTTCTTGCTGTTTGTACCCTCTAAGAAAGATTCTATCAAAACTGAAAGAAATTTAATCTAGATTTGAAACAAAACATTAAAAAAGACTGAAAAGTAATTTTTGCCATCATATCGAATTTCTTTTCAAGCATTCTACCATTAATTCACGAATTAAGAGATATTGAACAAAATGTTAGTTATAATAGAGATCAAATATATGGTTTATAAGACCGTACTTCTATGCACTGATTATCTGATTGTCACTTGATGTTAAATGTAATTAATAGTAGTTTTGTTTGTAGGGAACAAGCTTAAAAATAAAAATGTTAATCTAATCAAGTAAATCTTGAGCTTTGTTGAAAATAAGGACATTCGTTTATCTAGTATAACGCACGATAACGTTTATCTCTTTCTAAACGTATCGATTTTCGGCCACTCATAATACATTCTTTTTTAAATATCAATAAACTTTCCTTTTTTATGGCTTTATCATGTATTAACAATTGAATATATTTTGTTCTTATCATTTTGCTATTTTTTTATCTATTTTTTATTTGTATGCATATCAAACAAAACAAACAAAACTGCTCATTTAACAACAAGAGCACCGCATAGACGTAGCAATAAACGCCCACATGCAAATTTGCTTTAAGTAGATAAAAATTAAATTTATCAAATATAATTTTATAACAACAGTAATTTTGGTTTTTAAATGATAATGTTTTATTTTAAAAATCCTAAAAATAATATTGTACCACAAACATTATTGTTATTTAGTGTATTTACATATCTTGAGTAACATCAGTTTCAAATAAATGAGATTATATCTTAATTCAAAATAATTAAATCATATGAACCTGTAAAAGCTCACCAAATAGTATAATCTGATCTGGGAAAAATATCTAAAAATATGAAGTTTGATAAAAAAAATAGATTTTGGAAAATGAAGGGTAAAATGAAGAGGTAAATACATATACATGTTTATTGGGAGGAAACATAAAAAAATATATAAGTCCATACATTGTTATCTCCTTTTGTAATATATACATTCATATAATGATTTTGAATGTGTCAGAGTGACCTGAGGTAGTCCAGAACTGCGTTCTGCACACCATCTCAGTAATATAAAGTTTTTTTTGCCAAATAGATTTAATTTCATACTATCGGTTTAATAAATTTCAACGAACGTCGCGTTTTGTCAGTTGCGCCGCTGTACATAGCGTTTTCATGATTATTTAAGGCGACGTGAGACGGAACTGGGTGCCATTAAATCGAATATATTTTGCAATTAAAAAGATTAAACATCAAGCTTTACACATTTACAAATCAAAAAGAAACACGACATTTATCACAATTGTTAACAATTTCGGGTAATCCATGATCATCCCTCGTAGTATATTTATTATTACCTGTAGTAAAGTTGAACCCATTTCGGAAAGGATAAAGCTTCACTTCCCTATAGACAATAGAAATGTAAAAAATTAGAACAAATAAAGATCCAGTGCTAATAATTTTGTTGAATAAACAAAAGGTGATACTCGGGGGAAACAAATAACAAATGATCAAGGCTAGCACTCAGTTAATGATAATATTATTGATAATGATATTTCAAAGTAAAATCTTAACTTAAAATGATATATATTAAACTGCATAGATGATTTTAGGATATGATCAGAAAGGAGATGAATACACAGTAAAGAATGCCTCTTTTGTGTTGGGTGTTCCATCTACCTACCAAAAGACAGCGCAGCAAGAACCTGATCATCTAATATACAAGCCGAGTAGCGAACTTACAAATACAACAGTGGTAAATAGTGTTCTCTTCTTTATCCGCAATGGTTTAAGAATTGTTAAGAATTCTTTTCGCGATTTTGTAATATGTTACGATATATAATATATTGATATAGAAGATTTTGGCGCAACAATACCTGTTTAGAAATTCACTTTTCATCAAAACCTGAAGATTAAACATTAAGTGATCAAACTTTTTTACCTTCAGTCTACCTAGAAATGGTATACAAGTTGCTGACGGCATATACGTGAGTGAGTTCTATATGAACCGAGGCAACAGCCATTTTTGAACAGCAAGCCTAAAATACAAAATGTATATTCATTCAATAACTTGTATAACGAATTTATAATTTTATGCACATTGATACTGTCGACTTGTTTATAAAGCAGCAACTATATCTTGCTTTTATAAAAACTTTGTTTTGAAATTACTTGTATTGTTGTACATCGGGAAATTTTTACAGTCAGGAATATACTGTAAATATTGTCATTATGCTTGTGTCCTGTCTAGTATTTGAAACGAAATCTGATTGTTATAACAAACTAGTTTTTATGTGGATTGAACAAATACGATAGAGCAAAATTATTTTATTTTCTAACTTAGGTAATGAGCCAGCCACAACCAGGGACTGTGTTGAACATTGTTCACAAACCACTTCCAAACCATATGGTACCTGCCTTGTGCGTCATGATATGTTGCTTCTGGCCGACAGGTTTATTTGCAGTATATTTTGCATACAAAGTAGGTGCAGTTTTTAATTTCATAGTATCCTATCTTTAATTTATGAATCTCCTTCCGCTAGCGAAAAGAGGACTATAGGAATGGCCTACGTCTATCCGTCCGTCTGTCCGTCCGTCTGTCCGTCTATCCGTCCGTAACACGTTCGTGTCTGCACCATTAAATCACTGAATTTGTTTTAAAAGTTAATTGGCACAAGTAATCACCATAATGAGACGATGTGCAGAGCGCAATAATTGGGTTGCTACCCCGATGGTCAAGGTCACACTTAAAGGTCAAATGTTGAAAGCTTTTCATTTCATAATAAAAGTCTACATTTCTTGTCCGCTTCATACCTTTCAAACAACTGATTTTTTTTAATAACTTGGCACAAGTTATCACCATATTGAGACGATGTGCAGAGCACAATAATTGGGTTTCTTCCCCAAGGTCAAGGTCACACTTAGAGGTCAAATGTTAAAAACCCTTCATTTCATAATATTTTTTTTTACTTTTACTTTAAATGACATCTCCCCATAGACCGGTCAGTCAATTTCATCCAAATTTTTCAGGAATGTTTCTTTGGTAGTCAACTTTATAAATTGTTCAAAAAACTTAATTCCAAGCAGAACTCTGGTTGCCATGGCAACCGAAAGAAAAAAATCTTCTTTTAGAAAACCGAAAGAGCTAGAGCTTAAATATTTGGCATAATACATCATCTAGACAGTGTCTACCAAGTTTGTTCAAATAAAAGCCCTGGGGTCAAAATTGGTCCGCCCCAGGGGGTCATTGCTTTTCCCCTTATGTATATAGTAAAAACTTGAGTGTCTTCCAAGTTTGTTCAAATAAAACCCTTGGGTAAAAATCGGCCCCATCGAGGGGGGATCATTGTTTTTCCCTATAGTCAAAACTTAAAAAAATCTTCTTATCAAAAATCCAAAGAATTACAGCTTAGATATTTAGCATGAAACATCTTCTTATTGGTGTCTACCAAATTTGTTTAAATAAAATCCCCTGGTTTAAAACTGGCCTTTGTCCAGGGGCCTATATACAGGTGAGCGATTTCAGGGCCATCATGGCCCTCTTGTTAAGATAACTTGGCCGAAATGATCACCATTATGACATCATTGGCAGAGCATAATAATCAAGTTACAATTCTCAAAGGTCCAATGTAAAAAACATCTACTTTTCATGTCCGCTCTTTAACTTATTGACAATTCAAAGGTTTTAAAATTACTTGGCACAAATTATCGTCAGTCACCATGACACAATCTGCAGAGTTCAACATCCAGGTTGCTCCCCCAAAGGTCAAGGTTATATGTTCTCCATAACTGTTTTTTACTTTATGGAAGATTTCAAATAACATGGCACAAGTAATCACCCTCATGAGACTTTGTGCTTATGAAATGCATGACATAACATCAATGTCGTGGCTGTAAAAGGTTCACTGCTTCAAATGACTAATGGCTATTAAACTCAGTGCGCCCTTATCAATTGTCACGGAAAAAATACCCCTGTCAGAAGATCGAACCAGCGGTCCCTGATTGATGGACCCGATACCTTCCCTAATGAGCTAAGCGGATTCGTTCGGGACACATTAATAATTGAAATTCTAGGCCAAATAAAGAATGTGGCTTCTAATTGCCTCATTCTTTCTTATATGATCACAATTTATAAATCAGTGGAACGACTACCAATAAGGAATACCTTGAATTCTAATTTTAAACTAATTAAATTTCCGTTTTACTCATATGGTTAAGTTTTCAATAAATGCCCCCGAATTGCAAGTTGAAACAACACTTCCGATTAAAGTGCCAAAATGTATGTATGCATGTGGTAATAATTTACCTCCAATCAATTATTACGGAGTATTAGCCAAAGATATGAAATCTAAGACAAAGGATGCCATTGTACGACGGCCAATGAGAGCCGAAATGTACGGTAAATGGCTGTTGGTGCAAAGCAAAGTTCCCGTCTCTCAAGCCTCCACTCTGTGCTAAGGGCACACGCACAGTTTTCCCGTAATCTTCTTTGCCTTCTCTGTAGGGCAACTCCCATCGGGTGGATTTAGGACATCGGCAGCTAAATTCATACAAACTAGGTTTTGCCGTCTTAAACGAAAACTCAATTTGAAGAGAGAATGCGAAGTAGCCGTCAGATCTTCAGTCATCTGCTGATGCCCAGTGGTTTCTCCATGACGTGTGCATACCGAGGGGAAGGGAGAAGTACTCGTTATTCAGCATCGGATCAAGCATTACAATGGCAGGCTATGAATATCCCCTTTTGATTGGGAGCGAGGTGACAATTAAAATGTTTATCATTTCTTAGAGATTATGTATATACTTCATAGCAAAACGAATTCCGCTCATATATATATTGATGTTTTTTGTAGACACGGAATCTCGAGCTCTCCGGCGACTATGGCAATGCGAAGGTCATGTCAGACTTTACAAGAAAATGGATAATTGCTACAGTTTTACTTGGAATTTTTGTCGGCATTATTTCAGCTATCGTTTACTATGCCGAAATGATGAATTATTACGACAACATTCACAAGAACTAGGATAGTTATCGACAACGTCCACTTCAAATTCGAAGAACTGACATGATTCTATATTCAGAAATAGTTTATATCTGAAATCATTGGATCTGATTTGCGTACTTTTATATCGTGAATAAACCGTTACCATTTTTTTACATTTTTAATTTCATGTTATTTTTTTTGTTGTAAATATCTATGTAAGTACAGAAACTATTTCAAAATATAAAACTGTTATTCCAGAAATCTATATTCGGTAAAAGTTTATTTTATTACTGACAAATTCACTGTAAGTTAATAATTTTTGAGAGATGATATCATGCTAATTAGATTTTTGACATGTTAATATGACATGTGTAAAAACTATGTACGATAAATAAACAAAAACGTGAATTTCGTTAAAGCATTTAGAAATATTCATTTGAATGAAACCATTATTAAAATTACAAAAAAGGCAATTTGTACATTTTTTCAATTTGATATTCATAAGAAGTAACTTCCACGTCGGTTTCCCAAAAACCCAAGTCTATTAATAACTCTGTCTATAAATAGGTGGGAGTACAATTTATTCTGTACATTGCACATTTGCACTGTCAATTTCATAAACCCTGGACTGTACCTCTCCAATGATGAACTGTTAGAAAATCAAAATATTTTTAAAATTCTAACGAAGACAAAGAAAACACATCAAACTTTTAATCTATTTCTAGTACATATCAAATAGATAAATAAATTCAAAACCCTACTTGGACTGTAGTCAACGATATTTTTAACTTGCACTAAGGATCGTAGTAGCAGTTCTACCACGTGATAGAGAGTTTTTTTCGGCCGAAGTCTGTCTGTTATCAGTTTGACTTCCTGTAGAACTAAGAGGGGAGGACTAAATATAACACGAATTTTCATTGGTCATTTAACATTGCAAACATTGCAAACTGAAACTGGTGAATCGCATTAATCATTCTAAAATAAAATGTAAAGAACAGCTCTTACCATTCTAAAATAAAATTCAAAGGATATTTCTCCCATTTTAAAATAACAGTTTAAGGATAACTCTATGATAAAATATGAGGAATAGTTTTCCCACTATAGAATACAATGCGAAGGATAGTTCTCAAATGAGATGTACTGGAATGAGGATAGTTTTTTGTGTTTAATTAAAAAAAAACATAAAAGCACAAAATATGCATTATTGCTTCTTTGGGAACTTCGCAGTTCTTTGGAGTTTCTAAATCGTCAATAAATCTGCCATATTGTTTCAAGAATCAATAACCGTCACTGTTACCAGTGGATAAAAACGCCATCCACTAAGTACCCAGGGTAGTATCCAACTGTCGAGCAATGAAATATTATCAAATGGAAAACTGGCCGCTGGGTAATGCGAAGGATTTAACTAGCCACTGTTTAATTTTCACCAACGTTTGAAAAGCATTTACTTTATTGACTTGAATATATTTTGTATCTAATTTTATAGGAAAATAAGCAAATATGCATTAGAGTCATAATATTCATGTCTCAAATGATGTAATAAATGAAAATTTCTAAAGTAGAAAGCTACATTGTTTTTCTTATATATTACGAACTGATCATGATGATGCTTGTGATGACGATGTTTATAATGTACAGTTAATGCTTAAAATCATGATAGTAGCAATAATGATGAGGATGGCGATTATGAACGGAATATAAATATATAATGTGTTAACGATTGTCTCTTGATGATTATGATAATGATGTTCTGTTGCTGATTAATTTATATGAACTGGTGATGGGTATGATGATATACTGATGCTAATGATGATGTCGATGATGATTTGATCTTCAGCAGTTCTGATCAGATACTTCTTCACAGATTCTTTGAAGGAAGGTAACCTGTTAAAGGTAAATAAATCAGCCACAACGAATAACACACAAAGCAGAAGATCTTTGAACCTAAATCGTTTACCTTCTAAATTGTAAATGCACCTTTAGTTGCCAATTAATCAATTGATGTTAACGAGTTTCATAACATGAATATGATGATAATGCTGAACTTGTTATTATTATGATCATGATCAATTGATATCTTGAAAACAGGCTTAAACACCTTCCAACAAATTGCCAAACTAGAAAACATGTTCGTTAAGGAAAATACTGTGCAGGCATCTAATATTTTATTTTAAAAGCCGGTTTTTACATTTTGTTGTTGACACACAACAAAAACAAAAGCACACATGTGACGTTCGTTTACTTCATCGACGAATAAATGTACATTATTAAATAAAATAGCAAACTTTATTGCCTATTAAGTATTTACAATACTGCAGTAAAACAATAAAGCAGACAAAAACAAACCCGAAGTTTAAACGTTTAAGCTTTCTTGTTCTAAACATAGAAAAAAACATCGTGACACAAAATGGCGGAGAAAGCAGATATTGAGAATATATTCAAATCTATCAACAATTTGTTATGATTTTGATATACATGCAGAATGAAATGCGTTGTTTATTGCAATTAGTCAGTTGATCTCTATAAAAACGTAATTTTTGCTTTATATTAGGAAATTGAATTAAAAAAAGTAAAACAAAAAGAAAAAAACTATTTCTTTTGCCTGAACAGGAAATGATCATCGCTGTGTGCACATCCATTGTTATTTATAAGATAAGGATCAATACTATGTGCACACAACTTGTCTTGCAAGTTTCTGATGTATATGGTTGAATAGCATGTGCATACTTAAAATGTGTTTACATTACTATATGTCAATGTGTACTTTTGTTCGAACCCACAGATAAAGATGTAATCAAAACTGTAGAGAATTTAATCTAGATTTGAAACCTCACTTCACCAAAGCTTGAATGGAAGGTTTTGCAATGGTATTGCATTTAGGATCGAATTTCTTTCAGTCATTCTACCATTAATTTACGAATTGAGAGATATTGAGCAAAATGTTTGTTATAATAGAGATAAAACTGTTTATATTGTCATACTTCTATGCACGACATAACTGACTATTTGATTGTCGCTTGGTTTGGATTAGTAGTTTTTCGTGAATGAGCTTAAAAACATAAATTTCCAAGCAGCTTAATGTTGTACAATGAATATTTAGAATTTGAGAAAAAAATATTTTTTTAAATGATAATCTACTCTGGTTAATATTATGAGCATACTATGATTTCCATGTTGAATATAAGGGTTTGAGTGTATCTAGTATAATGCAAGATATCTTACATTTCTTTCGATATGTAACGATTTTTTGCCGCTCAAAATACATTATTTTGAAACATTAATGTACTTTCTGTTATGTCTACATTTTGTTCTTATAATTTGCATTTTTGTTTTCTTTTTATTTCATTTTAGTTCCGCTCTTGATAAAGAAAGCAACTACATGTCAAGTGAAATAATAATTGACTTTAATATCTAACTTTATCAAAATCAAACCACATTAAAGTGTATAAAGCTTTATATCTGCTGCAAAAATCATTGTCTGAAGTTTGATAGAGAAATACTTCCAAAGTGCTTGTATGAACTATATATGGTATTTAAATGCCTTAAAAACGAATGGCCAATACACAAATCATTGCTAAACGGATAAAACCCTACAAAAAGTAGCATAATAACACTTTGTTCCGGAACATTTTATTATTTTTACGTACATTATCCATGTGTATAAATAACAGAGACATTATATGGTACAAAATGTTTTGAACAATTATTCAATATATGGATCAATATAAAACACATTTTATTTCAGGACTGAGTCTCATGCATTTGTGTGTTTATAAAACAAAACTGCTCATTAAATGATAAACGGACTTTAAATACACGAATGCAACAAAGCTTTATCATGTTTATCATTATTATTGACATAGACCCTACCTGCTGCGCTTTTACGGTACATTATAACGTGACGGTTTGCCTTTTTTATTTATGCCTTGCATATTTTAGCACTGTTTGTAATGTAAACACAAGTTCAAGTTATCATCTGTTAACAACAACTCTATCTGACTTATACGAAGGTTAAGTGTAAGAATAGATAAATGTATTTAATAATAAATAAATATAATTGAAATTAATGATTGTATATATTTTTTGAAATTATAAATCGATGAAAAAATATTTACATGACCTTTAAGCTCAACGTAGTTTAAAATGGATCATATACAAAATATACATCCTGTCTGAAATTGAACCTCCTCTAAATGCCTAAACCTCAAAATATATTTCCTAATGCAAATTTTTAAAATTGTAAGTGCTTTAACCCTTTACCTCATATATAACAACGCACTTTCGACCCCCCCCCCCTCTTTTAGGCCTCAAATAGTGAAAAAATGTCCTATTTCGGCCCCCAATACATGTTTTCGTTTGAGAAATGTTGCTAAAAAATGAGCACTTTTTCGGCGCCACCCCCATCCAAAAGATACATCAGGGGGTTGTCAGAAGGGGGATTTGCCCCCTTCTGTTTGGGGAGTTTGGAGGGGGGCGGTAGTCCCCCTCATCGCAAAGAATATTTTTGACTTTTGAGAGGCTAAAAATGACCCCAGATCAATCATAAGGTAACGTGTAACCAACACTGAAAAGCCTTTGACTCTATCTCAATCCCTTGAGAAGTTGCAGCACTTTGAAATATATTTTGATGGAAAAAATCGAGGCAAAAAAGTGATTTTTGGCAATTTTGAGACGTCCCCTCGTTGCCATGCTATCAGGAAATCTAAGACTGAGCATGTCGATACAAAGGCAATGGTCAAGTTAACATGTGTGCCAAGTTTGATTAGTATTGAAGCAGTTTTCATAGTTTCATAGCAGTTTGAACTTGTAACAGGAGGCTTTTCTATGAAAACGGCCATTTTTCACAATATGCTCATGAGGGAAAGGGTTAACTAAAAAAATGAAAAATGTTACAAAACAACAATTTTTCACCAAAATTAGGTGAAAGACCACATGTTAACATGGAAAAACTAGATTTTGGGTAATTCCAAAGTTTTTCATCATTTTTTGTTAACCCTTTACCTCATATATACGCGAAACAACGCACTTTCGACCCCCCTCTTTTAGGCCTCAAATAGTGAAAAAAAATGTCCTATTTGGGCCCCCAATACATGTTTTCGTTTCAGAAATGTTGCTAAAAAAGTAAGCACTTTTTCGGCGCCGCCCCACATCCAAAAGATACATCAGGGGGTTGCCAGAAGGGGGATGTGCTTAGGCGTCGGTGTTGGCGGCACACATTGATTAAGTATTTGCGTGCAAGTGTGAATCCAGAGCTATTTAAAATAATCTATTGAAACTTCACTCAATTATTTTAGAGAATAGTAGGTCATTATTCAATGCCAATAACTCTTATGATGTTTTTGATTGAACTATAGCCATTTCTGAGCCTTCAGGGTCTGCATTTTCCAGGCTCTCTTATTTTACTATCCAGCGCTGAGAATAGTCGAGCGCACTGCTCTTGCTTGTAGATACTCGTATCTAGCGGTTTTCAAAAATCAACGCAACGCAATTTTATGGTTTTATACAATTTTTGTATCAGAAATCTGATGCTCAAAATGAATGGGACTTAACGTAAACATGTCGAAAACTTAAAGTGTCTTATTCCCGAAGAGGTATTGGCTTGGCTATTACAAAATAAACATAAAACCTTTAATAACCAATATTGTTAGTTTATAAAAGCGTTATTTTTAAAGATATTACCGAATTTGCTTCATGAAAATGAAAGGAGTAATTATTAAATTATTTTCAAAAATGTTAAAGCCAGTTTTAATAAGAAAAAGTACGTTTAATATAATGTATATAAACATTTCATTAGCTGTACATATTTAACATATTCTTGGATTCTGTAAAGGTTTTTAAAGGGTAATATAAACGTAAGTTATGCTAGCGTTTATGCCGAGTTAGGCAGATACCCATTGTATGTTAATAGATATGGTAGAATGATAGTATTGGTTAAACAAACTTAGACGGATAATAATTCTTTTAATCAGATTGTAAAAAGGTTTGTGCAATTGGGTGTAACAATGATTAACAAAAATTATGTGATTGTGGCTTACCGTACATATTTGACGAAAGATTATTAAAATATAAGTACATTGTAGTAGCCTAATAATTTGCATTTATAAGTATGGTAAAACATCAATGGACTATGAACTCGTGTCTATGAAATACGTATACGATAACTGAGCGTTATAGCGTAATAGGGTAAACTACGGATTTATTATTTCTCAGTGTCTTACATGTTGTAAGTTCGCGACCCTATTAGGTCTATGTTTTGTTTTATGTATATTATTTTTATTATTGAACAGCTCCATTTATATTTGTTGACTTATTTTGAAAAAGTCAATACTCTTTTTTAATGACATGATTTATTTAGTAATGTTTAAAATTCACTCGGATTAAATCATTAATGTCATTTGAATGATGTAAATCACAAAACAAATTTCCATAAGTTGATTCATAATCGTGAAGACAATTTTGCAAGCACTCGGCCATTTCGATTAAAATGTACTGCAAAAATAAAGAAAGAGTAGTTCTTAATAAATATAAACAGAGATAGAACCACACCTCTCATATTTTAGGCAATTCAT